GAAAATGAGTAATTAATGTTTGATATACAGATAATAAATATATGATCAATTTATTATTGCTTAATCTTTTACTCGTCTATTTTATGCTGCCTCCCAAAAGTATGCTAGGATTTTTACGCACGAGCATCCTCTTATTTTGAATTCGCAGCCTGAAAGTATGCAATGGAATCATCCAAGTCATACGAGATACTCTAGTAACCCCTTTGTGCCTAGCTGGAATAAAACTTCAACAAGTTGCAGGTCCTTAGATAACCAAATCATTGCAAGTGGCCCTTAGTAACTCCCACTCAAAAATTCCACCCGTAATTAGGTTATTTGCAGTCGAAAGACTTGCAGATGAAACAGTAAGCCATTGTCCACTCTCCAGAAGCAATCTTCCATTTCATCTTTCTGTCTGATAATCCAGMTGTACTTWAGAGTTATAGAAGCCAAATGTCGCCCAGTTTCCCAACTGATGTCCCAGCAATTGAGTCGTATTCAAGTGTTTGTGGAAAAGCGAAAGTATGCAGTATATTTAATTCTCGCAGGCGTGAATAATATTACAGGGTATTTAAGTCGATGTGGAGATAACAGCAGTACATTTTACACTCTAAGCGGAATACTTTTTACAAATCTACAGCGGCGCGTGCCTCCTGGCTTCGCGGCAGTCAGCTGGCCTACTCATTGAGATCGACGCCCTCTCCGTTGACCTGAATGGTAATGTGGTCGCTGGCCTCAGCCTCGCCCCGCTCGCGCTGCGGGTGGGCGGGCGGCAGGGGTGCGGCACGCCTGGGCAGGGATTGCAAGGAGATCTCATCGTCCTGCCGTCCCATGAAGCGGCGTCGAGTGCGCGCGAAGTCGAAGGTCTCGCGCTGCCTCTGGCGCGACTGGGCATACGAGGCGTCCGTCAGCTGCTGCAGCGCCTGAGTGGAGCTAGTGCGTCGCATTGGCCCCGCCTCAGGCTGGGGCAGCGTGCCGGCTGCCGACTGCCGCTGGCGACCAAAGCAGCCGGTGGCATAGCGTCCGTCGGCGGACCGCGAGCGACGCTGTCGAGCCGAGTCCCGGGCACTCAGCAGTTGCTGCAGGAGCCAATGGTTAGGTGGCATCTACATACATCTACATCGATTAGCTGGCATTTACCTGCTGCATTTCATCCTTGCGCAGACGTCGCAGTCCCTGCTGCTCCTCCAGTTTGTTGGTCATCTGAGCCATCCAGTCGCGCGCCTGTCGCAGCGACAGCGAGCTCTGCGAGCGCTCTGGCAGCCTGGTTGGGAAGAGCATATCCCGGGCGCCTACCACGCTGCCGCTGTTCAGGACGAAGACGCGCGGGAAATCTATCACAAAGTCGCGGCTGCGTATCAGATCGGCCAAGGCGCTCGTCTGGATCGGCGCCGATGACGGGACCACAGCCGTCGCCGTCTCCTGGGTGAGGCCGCTCGCAGGAATCGCAGGAATCGGCGGATTGGCGTTGCGGGCGTTCCTCTCCGGCTCGTACTCCAAGATGCTCTCCTCACTGCCCAGAAACTGAAACGAGAAGAGCTTGAATGGTAGCACCATATACCATCGCCGAGGGTATCGATCGGGCAGCTCCTCTGGAGTCGGTCCATGGCGTCTAGCTACGGGTGAGCGGGTGGACAAGCGTTGGGAGCAGAGCGCGCGCTCAGGCAACTACATTGCAAACAAGCGGAAGCGTTTTTCAAATTCAATCAATTTATTTGGTCTTGAATATGCTTGAGTCCACGTTTGGTCTAGGTTTAGGTTTTAGCAAAAACTATATATACGTTCTATATAGTATAATTCGTATCTGTGTATGTATTGTATATATGTGTATGTAGTACACATCTGTTAATTGTAATCGACAGCTAATGGAGGCCCTATGTCTTCCTAGTCGCTCTAACTTGCTCTAAGCTCAGCGGGCAGCTTGCGGGTTGTTAGTGTGGAGATGAAACTGAATGGAGATATCAAGATGAAATTGGATTGAGTGTTCCCTCTGTATCTTTTTTTTTTTTTTAATGGTTGGCAATGGATCGCAGATATGTTTTATCGTAAGTGTGCGAAACCCTGGAACTCATCTCTAAGTACATACATATTCACCTATATATTCGCACAGGTGTTCGCACAGTTATTTATGCTAAAGATCCTCATCGAAGGGGATCGATCAAGCAAGCGATAACGCAGCGATGCCTGATTCTGAATAGAATGGCCTGGTCCAATTATCGGTTATGAGTCCATTGAATGGACTTGCGAAATCAAAGAGAGAAAATTAAAATAAATAATATAACTAGCGGTACATTTATTCAATTTGAACAACTAAAGCTAAAAGCAAATACTTTGGCACCTTCGACATTATCTTAAAGTGTGTGTGTGTTTATGAGTCTTGTATGTATGTATGTGTGTATGTGTCTGTGTGTGTGTGTGCGTAGTATTATTGACTAGCAAAACAGGCGCTGATTTTGCTACAAATGATGTTGCATTGAATATTACAGCTACTACGGCTACACGTTTTATGATTCATAATAATACATATACATAGTTAGAAATAGTTATTAGTTATAGTAGTTATTGTAGTACTCGTAAATATTTCTGTTTGCTTTTCTCTCGCGTAATTTGTTTTTCGGTTTTCGGCTTTCGGTTTTCCGGTTTGTTTTTATATCGACAATTGGTACGCTTAAATTTAGAACTTAAATATAGAACTTATAGAACTTTGCATAGTTTCGTGTTTTCTTTTCGCATTTCTTTGTTTTTTTGTTTTGTTTTGTTTTCTGTATTTAATGTGCGTGGATCTTCAGTTCTGTGTCTACAGACTTCGCTGATTAGAGCAATTACATTATCTAATTAGGGCTGTTGCACTCTCCAGTTGGAGTGGTTAGCGTAGTTTATCCGCTCTGCTTTCTGTTCAGCGATTAAGTACACTGTGTGAACTGCTTCGCACTGCTTGCAACCGCTTGTTGGGCAAGCAGCCGAAGCACGCATATTTACATGGTAAGTACGCAGCACGTCGAATGTAGAATTTAAATATATGCAAGTATATGTAGGTTTATACGTAACTATATAGATACGAGGGTTACTTATAGATCAGTTGGGTCAGGCGACTTATACGTCGGTCACCTGGCGACTGGCAGTGCAAATCATTTGCGGCATTGTCGCCGGTGCCGAGTTCCGTCTGCCGCGCTCAACTGACCCGCCCAGTGGCTGTTGCTGTTGTTGTTGTTGCAACTGCTGATGTTGCAGTTGTGGTTGGTAACTACTACTAGGACTACGCTGGTGATAGCTGATAGCACTAGGATTAAAGCTACTTATGTTGTGCGGTGGCAGGGCCACCACAATGACGGGCAGCCCCTCCTCGCCGGCACCTGGGCCAGCGGCAGCAGCAACACCTGCTCCACCAGGTGCTGCTGCTGCTGCTGCGGCTGCTGTGGTTGCGGCTGCGGATGGCGCATTGTGCTGTGGACTGGGCGTTTGATAGATTTGGTCACCCACCACATAGCCGTAGAACTTGAGCACATCCAGCTTGCACATGGGGCAGGTGCGATGCTCAATCAGCCACGGATCGATGCAGTTCTTGTGGAACTCGTGTCTGACGAGAGAGAACGAAGGAAAGAGAAACAGACAGAGATACACAACTTAGTCAATTTGCTTTATCGGAGAGTGACTCATGTTCTACACTTACTTGCAGGGCAGTATGCGTATTATATCAGCGGGCTTGTAGGACTCAATGCATATGGCACAACAATCGCTGTCCATGTCCTTCTCATCGGTCATCTTGCCCGTCTTAGTTGGAATTTTCATAATGGCCTTCTTTGTCACTGAGCAAAGATTGCGCTGCAACATATATCATTGTAAGTAATCATATCGGTCACTTCAAAGTCAGGCATAGCTCACCGATTGCTGATCCTTTGCTTGCATGTAACGGAATCTCTGTATGTAGTAAAAGATAAGCCATACTAACGAAATAATCATCAGCACAATAAACGATATCGACACAAACAGAACCGAGGTGCTGAAAAGGATTAATTTTAATTAAATTCACTGTTATTATTATTATATATATATTAAAGCTAGGAGTAATTCGAGAACTCGGGCTGAACTGCAAAATTGGTCACGGCCGACTAATATGGGGACGTAGCTCAGTGGTAGAGCGCTCGCTTCGCATGTGAGAAGTCCCGGGTTCAAACCCCGGCGTCTCCATAGTAGTACTTGATGGCTTTATTTTAAAATACATTATTAAAGTTTCTAATTCAATCTCAACGATTGTCTTTTCCTTATTTTTTCATCATACACATGCTTTTAAAATTTAAATTTATAGATAGTAGGAGCGGTAAAAGGTCGTGTGAAAGCATTTTTATTGCTGTTAATAGAAAGTAAAGCAGTGCATCCTGCGTTCGATGATAAGTACATCAGTACATTGTGCAGTGCTATAGCATAATTGTTGTAAATAAGTCATTTTGCACAATTTAATGTATTGGGGACGTAGCTCAGTGGTAGAGCGCTCGCTTCGCATGTGAGAAGTCCCGGGTTCAAACCCCGGCGTCTCCATCGGATTTCAGAATAAATTTTTTATTTCACAATTTTAATTTTGCACTAATGAATCCTTCATATAAGTTCGCTGATATCAAACTAAGCTTTCCTTGACTTCGTCATTTCCAAAACTAGGTTGATCATTTGGCAGTCAACGTTAATAAAGCAGTGCATAATAATTATAAAGCAGTGCAAATAAATTATTTTTGTTCACTTGACATAACTAAGGCATTTTCCGCAACCCGTTCTCATGGGGACGTAGCTCAGTGGTAGAGCGCTCGCTTCGCATGTGAGAAGTCCCGGGTTCAAACCCCGGCGTCTCCACAGAACAACAGCTGGATTAACTTTTTTTTTTTTTTTAAATAATTATTTTGATTGTTTAGCTTACCGATTTAAGCTGCTGACAGATCGCACGCCCCGTCGTCCTTCAATTATGGAAATGGTTACATTTATTCCCTTATCAACAGTGCTCGCTAGTTCGAGTCCAATCGCTTGATACGTTATCACTGCGGCAATATTACCTAGAAAAGTAATGCGAATTTAGTTTGTTGACTCTTTGAAATGAAAATAAAGGAGCTCACGATTCTTGTTTTTGATCTGCATTTTCTCCAGCTGCATAACCTGCTTATCATTGTAGATTATTACCCCCGCGGCGTTGTATTGATGCACATGCTTCACCTTATCCTCGAAGGTGCAACGGCCACGTCGCACCAGCGCTATCCATGACACGCCCTTCTCGGGCAGGGGCATGCCCAGGGTGCCGCGTATATAGGGTGTGCACGCGAAATCGTCGCTAATGTCATCAGCAGTGCTAATGTGTATCAGACGACCCGTCACATTGAGCACTCGGCCCTCGCCGTAGCGCGCCTTCTCCTCGGAAAACTCTATTTCCCTGATTATATTCTGGCTGTCCACATAGGACCAATTGAGGAAGGCGAAGTTGTAGAAGTCCATGGTGAGGCGCTCCTCGCCTATGCTGGTGTACGAGTGCGTCGCATTCGCCGGTCGAAAATATCGCTCCAGATCCTGGTTGGCAATCGTCATGGCCGCCACCAAAGTGGTTGTCGTCGTGGTCGAGGTCAAGGGCGGCTGGCCCCCCAACAGCAGCAGTAGGCATGCCAACAGCAGCATTTCCTGGCAGTACATAGCCGGGAGATCTATTTATTCCTTGGTGTTCTTGATTTGTTTTCTTTTATTTTTCAGCTCACAGCTCAATCCAGTTCCGTATCTCTAAATTGTGTGCAACATTTGCTCCTGCAACTGCGATGCTAACCAAAGTCGTTTAACTACTGAAACGATTAAAAACAAACACAGTTAAGTTTCAAGCAATGTTAGGCATAGTGGAAGTCGCTGAAAACTGTGGGGCCGCTCGCTTAGCTAGCGATAAGCGGCCATATTTATAGAATCATATTTAGTGGCAGCTCTTGTTAAATACTAGCCAAATTGATAAGGCCCTTATCACTCGACAAGTGCCTATTAACCTAATGAAAAGACCGAATGATGGCAAGGGGTAAGCATTTCACTGCTGTGCCAATACATGAATAATATCTCAAGTGAATAGTGGAATAATGGGAAGCTTTAAGGTTCTATACATTTGAATGAACAAACGAAAGATATATCAATAGATTTGTTTCAGATGCCACCAAATAAATTGTTATATATTTACAAATTTGAAAATTTGTCATGGATTGTATATAGATTATAAACGGACAGGGAATAACTTAAGGAGCTGGTTAGTATGTTTTAAGTCTAGAATCGTTTTGCATACCCTAACTATTCTCATATTGCATTAATATATAATCTAATCTTTGCATTATATACTGATTTGCTGTGTTATATATATTTAATTTAGTTTTAAGCAAATCTTAAACTGACCAACATAATCATATATGTATGCATATTGTTTGTTTGTATAATAAAGCTAATAATTAATTTATAATTAATTAATTAGATAATAAGCCTATTTAAATGTTGGTGTACGTAGACATTGATGTTACAAACAATATTATTTGTTGCTAGGAAATAGTTGGGAAATGGTTAAGGACATTTTCAAATAGTTYCRCAATAACTTCAGGTTAGTTCAGCACTTTATATATCTTACGGATTGTAGACATAAATCAATTAAAACTATATAGATAGCCTATAGATATTTATAGCCAGTAGATCAGCGGATAATATGCTATTTATTGTACACCCACTAGGTAGCCATTGAAATCATGGCTGCGATTTCGCTAAGCTGTTAACACTTTGTGAATTGATGAACAACAGTTACACACACATATTTATATAGCTCCTGGGTCATACACAAATCATATTTTGCGCCCTATGCAGCTATACAACGAATTGCTCTGCAGTTTGAAGCAAACGGCGAATTCCTTGGTTTCCTGCATTTTTGGCCATTTCGCTACGCTGAAGGCCAATGCCACTGGCAAAGGCGTTGCCATTAATAATTCGCCCGTTGCCCCACTTGCCTCGTCTGTCCCCTGGCCCCTCCTCTGCCCTCCTCTCCAGCTGCTGCCCGCTGTGTCAGGCAAATGCAATGCATTTAAATATTTTATTTCGTGTTGCCAGGGCTAGCGCCAAATGGCAAACGGGCGGCACGAACGAGTCGTGGGTGTGCGGCTGACACTGAAAAGTGGTTCGGCAAGCCACTAGCCAGCCACCAAGACCACATAAAGCGCCTGAGCTGCCTGCCAACCAGTTCCAGTTTTCCTTTCTTACATAAAGGAGACTCGCGGCATCTGCTTGGACACCTACTTGTTTTACATAAAAGTAGAGTTCCCCAACCCCCCAGCCCACACAGTCTTCCCTCTTCATCGCGACGTCTGGTTACAATAAATTTAATTTCTATATGCACTCAGTTTTCAGCAGTCAAAGTCGACTCGGCCAGCCGAACAGGAGAGCCAGCGATTCCGCCAATTGAATACAAAACTTTATTTTGACGCCTATTTATGCTCGCCTTGTGTGTAGTAAGTGTGTGTGTGTGTGTGTGAGTACACTTATTTAGCCGTCTATAGCCACTGGCTGAGTCTATGAACCAACTTGGGCTGCGCTGCCTGCTTGAATCACATTGGTAAAGCAATCTTTCCAGATTTCATAAATTTGTGTAAACAAAGTTCAAGTTGCACGCTCAAAGGGTCGCAGTGGAGCAACTTACTCAAGCGGCTGTAGTAAGCGTGCCCACAGATGGAATCACAGTGTTTATAAAGAACTTATGAGAGCGAATCAATTTCATGAAGAGGTTAAACATATCAACTGGTAGTGGAAGGAGAAATATATCTAAAAATTGCTGATATATCTGGTAAAAAGTAATAGTTATAAAACATTTTTGACTTCTTTGTGCATTCATATTATCAGCTGCAGTTTTAGCTGTCGCTGTAGCGCCCTTTTGCTTCGCTCAGATCTGGCCAAAATGTCTCGACGATTGCTTTTGCATGCATCGTTGCATTTTATTTTATT